CCGCTGCCCCCGGCTGCCCCCGCTGCACACCGACTGGCTGCCAGCCGGGCTGCCGGCTCTGATGAGGAGCCCGACAGACGGACAGGCAGGCTTCTCGTCTATGTTATTGCGACCGAAATTTTATCATGAGCGTTTATAGCAAAAACTTAAGTAAGGAAAGTTTTACTTAACTTGTAAATTTTAAATACGCGCTTCCAAAACCTTTACGTCCATTTTTCTTTTTTGTGTCGTAAATTAAATTTACATCTTCTCCTACTTTGCTTGGAGCACAAAAATCAAAAGAAATTTGTGTTAATTTCTAATGGTGTAAAACTCTAAAGTTCTGAACCCTAGACCATTTTGTCGAATTGACGATCAAACTGACGGCGGACGCAGCTGCTCTTCGAGTTCTAGCCCTATTCGATTATGTGTTGACGGCGTAAACGGGAAGCAAAACATGGCGACTTAAGTAAACGGAAGCGGAAAGCCGGAAGTAAACTTAAAGTTGGTAAAGGGGTGGGGGTGAGTATTGTGAGGTTATGTGAAAAGATGTGTACACTGGGACTCCTCTCCATTTCCTCATGTATGGGCTCAGTGAGCTGCTAGTGGCTCACCCTCCACGTGGAGTGGTACAGCTGCAGGTGGCGCTGAGGTCTGCACTCTCATCATGACTGACCTGCGGAACAAAAGAAGATGTGGCGTCAGAAAACGTGGCGCGTGCACTGTAAAACCAAGTGTATGAATGTCGCACACTTGAAGGTGACTGAATTTACATTCGCGCACTTAGTATAGTTGTGAATTTTCCAGTCAAATTCTTACACTTGTGTCCTGAAGTGTGTGTACTAATAGAAATTCACACACTTTCATACGCCTAAGGGTATGCGACATTCACACACTTGGATTTCCGGTGTGGAGGGGATGAAGTCGCCTCCCCTACCCCGCCTCGCCTCAACTTTTCGATGCATGCCAAAGTAAGTGTGCAGAGGGAATGGAGCTTCGCGCGATGCTTCGAGACGTTCAGACCTGTGGCGTGGTTTGAGGAAGAGGTGGAGGAGGAGGAGGTGGTGGGAGACGCCCCCGCCCCTCTTCCTCTTCACCGCCGGCACTGGTCCGAGCAGTAGAGGGGAGGGGGGGGGGGCTCTAAATATTTAAGGCTCTATAACTAGGAGTGCTCGCTCTTTTCTCCAAAGTGGAAAGTTGTCGGCCCTTTGTTATGACGCTGAACCGTCGGGGTGCGGTGCGGGGCGGCTCTTCGGCCGGCCAAACCTCTGAGCCGCCAAGACCGCCCACCGCCTCCTTCCCTTCCTTCCTCCCTCTCTCTCCTGACTCTAAGCTGGCCAGGGCGCATAGCCTCCACTCGGCATTGAGGTAAAACAGGACGAGGGATTTCGCGTCTTTTTTTTGTGGTTGGTTGAGTGGTTGGTAAACCTTGCTAAAACACACATTTTTGTTTGTTGCCAGTCCTGACTCCTTGTATGAGGGGGGGGGG